ATGTGTCTAAGTGTGGTGCTATGGCTTATCGGTTAGGCGATGAGCTTTGTATTTGAGATAACTTTTACAGAACGGCCCTGGTTCTAATATAGCGAAATGTTTCTGGCAAGTAAATTCTGATACTTCGGCACACGGGTTGCCCCTTAAGGAGAGCACAAAATGGAATGGCACGAAGGAGATTAAACCCGAGTCACCATGCGCAATTTCAACATCAGGCAAATATATACAGACACACCCATGAGCTTATACTTTGGTTTACGTTAACAAATACAGATGGTCAAAATTTATCCACATGTCTTGCCTCAGAGGTGTGTCGTATAATTTCACGCATACGCCAATTTCTTCACATTATCTTGGGCGTTTTTGTGGCATTGTTATAGACTCTAGAAAAAAGTGAACTTTATTTGCTTGAAAAAAAATATGTTTGTTCATCAAAAATTTGAACCTTTGTTGCATCCCTGTAGGGCAGATAATTATTCGACGAAAAGTGTGTGCTGAACTGTTACCTTTTTGTACCGCTATTTGGTACAGGTGCACTAAAGCGCTCTAAACCACGTAGCTTTCCTGAATAAGCTTGTCAACTGTCTTATGTTCATTTCACAAAAAAGTGAATAAAAATTGTGAATGCAATTGCGTGGTTACTTTAGCTCATTGCCCAAGAGTATAGGATTTTTTCTTTTTTGTATTTTTAGCATCCAAGGCCAGCATGCTTGAAGCAAATATTGAATTAAGTTGCACTATAGCAGTGCACAGTGGGAGCCACACGAGGTCAATGCTTACAAATAAAAATACAATCAACGCGACGACATCTGAAAATGCAAACAGTCGCCAAAAGCGAACATTCCATTCATGGACTATTTCCATTTTTGTTCGCAAGTATTGGTAACGGTGAGCCACCTTCGTGTATCCATTCGTTAATTGGACAACATATATGATACGAGTAGGCTGCAGTCAACGCATGTTATGAGTCGACGATCGACTCCCACCGCTCACAAAAAAGCTTTGCTGCGTTAGTTTGTAAGTGCGCTACCAGCTACCTATTCACACTAGCGCGATGACGGTGCTGTCCTCTGTAGCTCGATCTCCTGGCGTATAGTATTGTAGCGGCGAGAGAAGAGAGACGTAAGACGGCGTCAAAGGCGGCCGACGGGGCCGTGCTGATCTCGCCACTTTATTCCACGCCTGAAGAGCAGACGCGGTGGCTGTCCACGTCCGACGCGCCAGGTGCGTGAGCTCGTTCTAATCCTCGCGCAGCTCGAGCTAGCATGAGCTGCGCGAGAGGCGCGGCGCGGCGATCCAGAAATGATGATGGTGATGATGGCGCTACAGGGCTCCCCCCCTAGCGCTTTGCGCGATTTGAAGGCATATGAAAAAAAAAGAGAGCGACAAATGCTATATACATGAACGACAATTCATAAAGTGTTCATTTGGAAAGTCCAGGTTGTCAACGTTGATTGGCCATCGGTAAGCAGCGGGTCTCTGGCGGGCGACACTGGGAGAAGCGCAAGGGACGAAGGAGGAAGTGCCGGGTCACTGTGGTAGCCGACAAGCGGGTCTCACGGTGACCTGGTCGGACAGGCCGAGAGTGGACCGTGTGTCGCGAGGTCATGACAGGATGGTGGGTGACAATGTTGGCGCTGGGTGCAGAGGACACTATACTGCCGCCTGTCGAGATTAGAGGTCCCGACAGGGCCCCATGATGGTGGTGGTGGTGGTGATGGTGGTCATGCGCCAGTATCTGCGGCTGGGTGAACGTCGGTATCTGCACCAGGGATTGGTGCTGGTCTGTCTGGAACGCACCCAGTGTGGGCTGGGCCAGCATGGTCTGCGTGGACAGCATGGCCTGCAGCTGTTGCAGCGTCAGTGGCTGTCCCGGGACTATGGCAAACGAGGGGGGCGACATCATGCGTGGCGGTGCCAGAAAGATGTTGGGCCTTGGCCCCAGGTTCTGTGGGATGACAAGCGTCGGGGTGCCAGGCGGTCCTGAATGTCCCCCATGGGGCCTGGGCCCCGTCTGAGGTCCTAGGGTCAGGCCCGTGGCATGGGGTGGCCGCAGGGCCAGCTGGACCCCCTGTATCTGTCCAAGAGAGCTCTGGGTCTGCCCCGATGCGCCTTGTATCAGAATCGGGCTGTGGCCCAGGCCCGGAATGTACTGGTTCAGCAGGAAAGTGCCCTGCGCAGGTCCAGTCGGAAACATGCCCGGCTGCGCTGCCGCGGGGTTCCCGATGAGCAGCGGACTCCCCGTGTTGAGCCCCATCGCGGCTCCGCGCTGCACCGTGGTCGCAGGCTGCGGCGCCGGTACAGGCGCGGGCCGCGGTGTGGCCTTGTGCTGGGCCGCGCGGGGAGACTGGGACCGGGTGGTCGCCGCTGCCGAAGGCGTGGTCATGTTCGCGCTGCCGCTCGACAGCTTGGGCAGGATCTGTGGCTGTTTCGGCTGGATGAGCCGGGGGGCACCAGAGGTGCGAGGACTGGGGCTGGCCGAAACCACCTGTGCGATGCCGGGTCTCGACGCAGGTGCCTGCTGCGGTGCCACGGGCAGAGGGGCGACAGTGGCAGTTGCTTTGGTGGTTGCCGGTGTCGACGCCGACGATGAGGGCAGGCTCTGGCTCCGCGAAGGCACGGCGCTGGGGCCCGTCGTAGACCACGAAACAGAGACAGGGACAGGGGCGGGGAGCGGGGACGCCGAGTGTGGTCGGCTGCTGGCCGGGTAGGTGCGAGTGGAATGTGGCGAGGCACCCGGCAGGCCATTGCTGGATCCAGTGGCAGGTGGCGGAGCGGCAGGGGGCACCATCGAGGAGCTGACCAGCAGCTGCGGTGAGGAGGAGGCCGAGACGTCTGAGCTGGTGGTCGCGGAAACGGCAAGGGCCACGGTGTCGCGTGCCGTTGCTTTCGTGGAAAACGTGCAGGTAGCAGGTACGTGTGATGAAGCTCTCCACTGGGGCTCTGAGGGAATGTACCTCTCGGAGGGAAGGTCAGTCGCAGTGGGGGAGTCTTCTACCTCGCGGTCGTGATCAGGTGCAGTAGTGGATGTTTCTGCGACCGGAGCAGGTGTAGAAGTATTCGAAGCCGAGGTACCGAGGTAGCTGTCAATGGAGGGCTGCGGACCGGTTTGTACCTTGCTCTGCGACGCCGGGGAAACCTGCCTGGTGCGGGTAAACGGAAGCGGACGGTATGTGTTGCCGCTGCGGGCGAGCATCGCAGTGCAGAGGGCATCGTAAGGCTGCGGGCTGGTGCTTGAAGTGGCAGCGAGATGGCGCAACTCTACCGGAAGGGCGTCGAGAAGAATGGCGTGCATCAGCAGCTGGTCCGTGATGCCATTCACCGCAAAAACGGCGTCGACCTGCATAAACCATACCTTGGGGTAGGTCGATTGGAACGGCGGCACTGGCGGGCAGAGTTGCGGAAACATGGCAGCGGGCCGTTCGGCGAAGGGCGTGTTCTCCGGGTCACCAATGTAGCGGCGAGAGAAGAGAGACGTGAGACGGCGTCGAAGGCGGCCGACGGGGCCGTGCTGATCTCGCCACTTTATTCCACGCCTGAAGAGCAGCCGCGGTGGCTGTCCACGTCCGACGCGCCAGGTGCGTGAGCTCGTTCTAATCCTCGCGCAGCTCGAGCTAGCATGAGCTGCGCGAGAGGCGCGGCGCGGCGATCCAAAAATGATGATGGTGATGATGGCGCTACAGTATACTCGCAAAAGGGCCAAAAATGTTAATTATGGTATGAAGAAAAGAGGTAAGGGCCAGAAATAGGGAACGACGAAGTGGAGAGGTCACCACTGATCTCCAAATAAAGGTTTGAAGATATGCTTCCCCGCCAGGGATGCTCAGCAGGCTGTACGCCGGAAACACCAAGCCTCGCTTTTCCACGTACGCCAGTGAAACTGAAGAGCAGGCGAATCGCCACTGAGCATCTTCCTACAGCCGTCAACTGGAGTGCAACTTGTGCCGGGCCACATTAGCATACCACTTTTAACAAGAAACCCTTCGCTGCTGTGAAGGTTACGGAGCAGATCATTCACCTGTGCCGAAGAGCTCCTTTAACGTTTGTTAAGCCGGTGATGTTTGCGGTTGCAAGGAGTATAATTTACGAAAGTGGTGGACCAAAACATGTGCAAATAATGTAACTAATGCCTAACGCTGGAGCACTTAGGCTGTTGGTTTCGCTAATAAGCTCGTATAAAAGCTGACTGTCGCACATTGCCTTCGGAAGAAAAAGGTTCTTCTGAACTAAAAAATCAGCTGTTTATTGTATTATTCTATTATTATTGTGATAATATTATATTATTACTATTACCCTAATAATTTGATTATTTTTATAATTATTGTTGCTGTTGTTGTTGTTATTAATAAATTATTTTTGTACACATTCCGTAATACAGAGAAACGGGCCTATTAATCTCTTCAGACACTTCGTTTTGGACTGCCACGGCTGATTACAGCGATGTGGTTGCATAGTCCCAAAAGAACTCTTTTCGAGGGTTTGCCAATGAACGGACGAATAACTTACATCATTGCTTCTATGTAGGTAGTAAATAAACAAAGAACAGGAAAGGGACTAACAGTATACATATTTAAACGTAGATCACACCCATTGTGCTTTCACAACTCAAGTAATTTCTTCAACTGCTTTTTATGTAGCACAAAAAATCTTTGAGGTACTACATAGAACATTTTAGGAGTTATAATATTAATAAAGATAGTAATAAAAATTTTGTGAGACCAATATATATTGAACTACGCACAATAAACCGTAAACATGCATCACAATGATTATTGTATTGTTACAAACAAAGCTTGGACTTTTCGCAAAAGTTTCAAATTATTACGATGCGATACTAATGTGAGTAGATTAATTATGTACCACTGCTCATAAAAAATGGGGCAAGTATCTTTACTTTTTTACGCCTTGAATGAGCAATTTGGTTTTTTTTTTTCACTTTTGAATGGTCGCACTTCAACCATCTGTCGTATATTATATGATTAGCGTATTCTTACCTGCAGAGTGCCTGCTTCATGTACGTGGTGCTCACATACCTCATGGGAACTAACTTTTTTTGGATGTTCGTCGAGGGCCTCTACCTATTTATTCTGGTCGTCAAGACGTTCTCCGTGGAGATGGTTCGTGCTCACGTCTACGCAGCCATTGGTTGGGGTGAGTGCAAAGCTGACGCTGCTGTTTTGTTTATTTTTGTTTTTAGGGGCTATGCTTCTTAAGCCGTGGGTCTGTCGATGCATGTGTTTTGTGATCGGTTCCTAACAACCAATTTGTATGACTCACTCAGGGTGGGCGCTGGTGTGAGTGACAGACACATGGACGGACGGATGAATGGGCAGACAGACAAACAGACAGACAGACAGACAGACAGACAGACAGACAGACAGACAGACAGACAGACAGACAGACAGATGAATTCATGGACGGACCGATGGACGAAAGCACGGACAGAGAGACAAAAACACTGACGGATGGACGGAAGCACGAACAGAAGCACGCATTAACAGACAGATGGATGGACGCACGGACGGATGGACAGAAGAACATAAAAACTCTTAGACGGACCGACGAAAGCATGGATGTACAGACTGATGAAAGCAGTGACGGACAGATGGAAGCATGCATGGAAAGACAGACGGGTGGACCCACGGACGGACTCAGGGACGATTGGACAGAATCACGGACGGATGGATGGAAGCCACCCAAAAACCTTTTTGAACACGAAAGCGTTTTATGGTGGTGCCCACCAATACATCATTGACGTAATTCTGGGAAAAAATAACGTCGAGAAAACGAACATAATAAGATATCAAACAATAACTTCATCTACATGATTCAGACACATTACCTATCGGTCCGCGAGAACATATGATATATAAGGCGGTCTTGCATAGTATCTAGAATGTGAGGTCATGGCGCAGTGGATAGCGTGCCGGGCATATGCCGGGCACGCTATCCACCACGCCATGACCTCACATTCTGCCGGGCACGCTATCCACTGCGCCATGACCTCACATTCTAGATACTATGCAACACCACCTTATATATCACACAAGCTCATCTCAGTAATGCGCTTGTATGGTGGGGTGTTGTTGGACTGTGGGAGCACTAAAACGAAGTAAGTCAGTCTCACTCATCGTATTCAGTCTGCTGTAGCAGAGCAGTGGTTATGAGGCTCCTCTGCTCAAATAAAGATCACGAGTTCGATCACCGCCATGGTGGTCGTAGTTCGATCAAGGAAAAAATTATGGACGCCCGTGCTCTATACGATATCAATGCACCTTAAAGAACGTCACATGATGAAAATTTTCAGAGCCCTCCACTACAGCATATCTCAGATAATATTATGGTTTTAGAGTGTAAAGCGACAGATATGATTATTACAGCATTTATTTATACCAAATGGGGAGACGACGACGAAGTGTCTCTTCATAGAACGCTTCTGCTTTCGGCTCCGAGCATTGTTATCAAGTTTTTCGCTTTCTACGGGAGACGCTGCTCCCTGCCCCAAGGCGACGGACGCGGAGTCATCCACTGGTCCGCCCAGCCAGAGGTCTGCTATGGCGAGCTCCTCGGTAAATCAGCGCGCCTGGCCCAGAACCAGTGAGGCCAACGGTGATAGTCACTGCATCATGGCTGTGGACGTGGAGCCTTCTGCGGCTATGTCCGACCATAGACCACCTTTGGCAAGCTCGTCGCGGAAACGAAGCACCTGTTCGAGCACCAGCGAGGACACGGAACTGTACTCGGCCACTGGCGACGACTCGTCGGATGACGACTTCGAGACCGTGAGAAGCAGGAAGGCCAAAAGAAGAAGTATCAAGTCGTCTTCACCAGCAGGGACATTAACGTCTCAGTCAAAAGGAGAATGCTGGCCGCACACCATCCTCTTCATGCCCGAGGACTCCACCATCAGCCTTCGAGCAGTAACAGGCAAGCTCTCTCTATGTACTTTGAGGGGGTAGCACCAAACGACATTAAGGATATCCGGGTGAACACGCGGAAGAATATTCTAGCTGTGGACACAATGACTGCCAGCGCCATAGACAAGCTTCGCAGAGTATCAGATTTGGGAGGCATCAAAGTACGACCGGTTATTCCAATGGACGGTGCCTGCACGGCGGGAGTAATCTACGACATTGATTTGGCCATAGCAAACTCGGACCTCCCAACTCTCATAAAACCAGCGAACGAAGGAGTTCTCATCGCGAATGTACTTCGCCTCGGAAACACCCGATGTGTAAAGATAATGTTCAAAGGAGATTCCATTCCATCGCATGTCAAAGTGGGACACTTCCGACATCCTGTTCGACCATTTGTCCCTAAACCACTCCAGTGCCATAACTGCATGAAAATTGGTCACATCAAGAGTGTATGTACAAACACCACAGTATGCCCCCGATGCGCTGAGCCGCACACTGCAGACGCATGTCGGGCAACAAGTCTGAAGTGCAGAAACTGTAATGGTCCGCATGATGCTGCATCCAAGGAATGCCCTCGGATTAAGAAGGAAATCGCCATTATCAAACAAATGGTTAGGGACAATTCAACCCACAGAGAGGCTGCTGAAAGGGTACGGCGGCGACGTAGTCGCCGACGGAGGCGTGTAGGACAGAGTGTTGCGCATAACCCATTTCCTCCGAGCACGAGTGAAGTAGTAAGCACGAAGCGAAAAGAAGTGGAGAAGCTCACAGCTGCGGATGAGTGGCCTACGCTTCCGCGTACACAGCCTGCAAAGGAGCCTCCTGCGAGGCCTCGCCGCCCTACACCTTCCACCGAGTCTACTTCCGTTGAGGATGTGTCAAGGGTCGATCGACAGATCATCCCGATGTTACGATCCCTCGTCGCTGTCATGGCAGACATACTAAGAAGCCTGGGAACTCCAACCGCTCGAAGCGGGTTACAGGTGTTGGACGCGCTGAGCCCAGTCCTCGCCTCCCTCGCGTAGAGTCATGGCAGGAGATCAACAATCGTTCCGCAAAGACGTCAGAGAAGCATCAGTCATCCAGTGGAACGCAAGAGGACTTAGATCACGGATTTCCGATTTTCGTCAGTACGTGTCTTCTAACCTTTTCCCAATCATCGTAATATGTGAACCGAAATTATCAAACCCGATCAGGCTATCTGGCTACGAATCAATCCCGTCCAAAACCCGAAACGAAAGCATCAAGGTCATTGTGTATATTCGTCGGGAGCTTACCTACATCATTCAACCTGTGTCGCCTCATGATGAGAACCAATATGTTTGCCTGACTGTGAAGCAGAAAACCCTCACCTTCACATTAATAGGTGTCTACTTATCTCCCTCAGCCCGTTTTGATTGCCAAAGACTGGATGACATTCTTTCGAGCGTCCCGGATCCGTGGATAATTATAGGGGACTTCAACGCCCACCACCCAATCTGGGGAAGTTCAAAAGTCAATACCACGGGCCGGAGGCTGGCTTCATTTGTATCGACTCATGAACTGTCTCTACTTAATGATGGGAGCCCTACATTTCTGCGAGGATCAACGTACAGCAGCTGTTTGGACTTGACGTTCGTGTCACGTCGCTTCGCCACAAGCGTTAAGTGGTTTTTAGACATCGAGACACATGGTAGCGATCACATCCCCAGTTATCTCACCTTCGAAGGCTTTGCTAGCGACCACCCGCCGAAAACCGTACGGAGGATCGATCTTTCAGCATTCACAACCAACATTGAACACGCTTGTGAAAAAGGCTTAACCTCTGGCATTGAGCAAGCGATCAAACAAGCAGCGCAGAGTGCGATGCGCACGCTGGCATATTCTTCAAGGCCCTCAGAAACGGACATGGAGTTAGAGCGACTCCGTGCGACTCGTCGGCGTGCGGAGCGTAGATATCGACGCACAAAATCCATTCAAGATCTACGGATGGCCAGGCGCATGCAAAAGAAGATCCAGCGTCGTATAGACAAACTGGAGTTTCAACGGTGGGCGAAATTTTGCGCGAGTCTAGACCCTCGCAAAACCGCTTTCTCAATATGGCGAACCGTGCGAGGCCTACGCACATTTCCCCAACAACGTTTTCCGTTTAAAGCCTTGGCCCTTTCCAAAATAGAAGGGATATCGAGGTAGCGGAAGATTTTTGTAGGAAGATTGCGGGCCCACCAAATTGCACAGAAGCCCTTACTGCTGATTACACGCCACATTCACATGACCCGCACCTGACCTGCCTTTTTTCAATGGAAGAACTGAATGTGGCTCTTGCTTCATGCAATCGATCGTCATCGCCTGGGCCGGATGGCATATCATACCGCCTATTATGCAATCTCGGTGATCGAGCACGAAGGTGCTTTGCTGGAAGTATTCAATGAGTCTTGGAGAGATGGAACGGTCCCCAGAGAGTGGAAAACAAGCCGGTTGGTTGCACTTCTCAACCTGGAAAATCGCCTCTAGAGCTGACATCATACCGCCCAATAGCGCTGGCTAGTTGCGTAGGGAAGCTGATGGAGCGAATGATCCTTGCCAGACTCGAGTGGTTCCTAGAACGCCATAGAATATATCCAGACGCCATGGCCGGTTTTCATCGTCTTCGGAGCTCCATTGACAATGTCATTGACCTGGTGACCTACGTACAACACCAGAAAATGAGCAGACGGTTATCTGTCGCACTATTTTTAGATGTCAAAGGAGCATATGACAATGTTTCTCACGAAGCCATACTTGACGCCCTCGAGTCAGTTGGTTTGGGTGGGCGAGTGTACCGCTGGATCCAATGCTACCTACATATGAGATCATTGTTTATGCAAACTGATGATGGGCCGACTTCTGAACATTATACACACCGTGGTGTTCCTCAAGGTGGTGTATTGAGCCCCACACTGTTAAACCTGGTTCTGATCGGTCTCGTTGAACGCATACCAGATTCCGTGCAGATATCTCTCTATGCAGATGATATTTGTGCCTGGACATCAGGTGTAACACGTCCTCAGGTACGTGCGAGACTCCAGAAAGCAGCGAATTCAATATCGGCGTACCTTAGAGAACAAGGCCTCGAGATTTCTCCTGAGAAATCGGCGCTGGTCGCGTTCACGCGGAAGGCAATGACATCATATCCCATCGCCATCAATGGACACAGTGTCTGCTACGCCAGGACCCACAGGTTTTTGGGGGTCACGATCGATCGAAATCTCTGCTGGAGTCCCCATGTGGCCACTCTAAAGAAGCGCCTAACGGCCATCACACAACTTTTCAAGTTCCTCGGAGGCAAAACGTGGGGCACATCAGTGCACGCGATGTTGCATTTGTACAAAACGCTGTTTCTGGGGTACCTGCGGTATAGCTTGCCCGTTCTGACGAACGCTTGCAAAAGCAGTATACGCAGAATAGAAAACGCCCAGGGCCAGGCACTCAGAGTTTGTCTTGGATTACCACGCTGTACATCAACAGCGGAAACCATCGCAATCGCCAAAGATCATCCGGCCACTGTGCACATTACTTTGGAGGTGCTTAGAGCTCATATTAGACACCTTGCTCGCGCCCCTGCCCACCACCTAGCTTCGCTTCCAGAAGATCGACCGAGTGCCTCCTTCTGTAAGAGAGTATTGACGTTCCGTGAGTGCCTTCCAACAGTCTACACACCTCCGGAACGGATACTAACACCTCCTTGGTGCTTGGACCGACCAAAACTGCGCTTGACAGTGCCGGGGATTCGCAAGAAGGCGGAGCTCTCGGCGCCAGCTTTAAAGCAGATGATTCTACTCATGCTACACGAAGAATACAAAGATCATGTCAAACTTTACACGGATGGCTCGACAACTGTTGGAGGATCTGCAGGAGCTGTGATCTTCCCAGCAAGAGCCGAAACCATCCAGTTCAGAACGTCACACAAGACGACATCGACAGCCGTGGAGCTCGCGGCACTCCGCAGCGCACTCCGCAGGATTGACCAAGAGACACCACAAAAATGGAGCATTTTTACTGATTCGAAACCAGCTCTCCAATGTCTACACAATACTCTACGTCGTGGACCTCAAGATCAATTGGCGCTCGAAATACGACAACTGTACCATCACCTAATAGACGAAGGACATGACATATCTTTCAGTGGTTACCAGGCCATTGCGGCATCATCGGTAACGAGCATGCCGACAATGCAGCTAAGAATGCTCACGAAAATGGAGTGATGGAACCTATTCCACTATCAAGAAGCGACGCAGCAGCAAAGATTAATACGCTTGCGCAGGATGTCGCAAGGTCTATGCGGAATACGCCCGGTTTTCTCCACACCCGTCTTCACCGCCTGGACCCATGCCTACGACTTACTATTCATCTGGCCTACCCCGATCCGAGACGACCCTTCTCTGCCGTATGTGGCTTGGGGTGTCTTTCACGAACGCTTTTGCCTGCCGCATCGGAATGAGAGACAGCGCTACATGCGACCATTGCGACAATGACGAAACAATTGAACATATTTTATGTCAGTGCCCCCAGTACAGCTCTCAGCGACAGTCCCTCTCAGCAGTGTTTGCTCGCCTCGACGACCAGCCATTTTCTTAGCAGTCAATCTTGGAATGTCGGAAAGATCGAGCTTCACGCCAGAAAGCAACGAAGGCGCTGATGAAGTTTCTGCGAGCGACCCGCCTCGTTGAACGATTGTGACACTATAATACTGTGTGCGAGTGTGTGTATGTGTGTTTGTGCTTCTTTTCCTCCCTTTCCCCTTACCCTTTCCCCAGTGCAGGGTAGCAAACCGGATATGTTTTCTGGTTAACCTCCCTGCCTTTCCGCAATAAATTTTCTCTCTCTATTTATACCAAAAGTAGCTCAGCCTGCGATGCGCGCCTGTCTCGCTGGGCCATAAGGCCGCATTTCCTGTGTACAATCTCGCCCTGAGAAAAATCGCAGCCCAGATACAAGAATGATTTGATTGATTGACCTGTGGGGTTGAACGTCTCGAAACTGTCATATGATTATGAGAGACGCCCTAGTGGACGGCTTCGGAAACTTTAACCACCTGGGTTTCTTTAACATGCACCAAAACTTGAGCACACGGGCCTACAGCATTTTCGCCTCCATCGAAAATGCAGCCGCCGCAGCCGTGATTTGATCCCGCGACCAGCGGGTCAGCAGCCGAGTACCTTAGCCGCTAGACGGATACCGAAAGGACACAACGCACGTTGAGCTTTCCTCTAGTCTGGCTGAGGTGTTCAATAACTTGATGACACACCACGGGAAGAACACTATAGCCCAATCTCGGTGCCCAATCTGCGACGTTTTTCAGGGTGGCACGCGACATTTTTCTTATCACGCAGTCACCGTTACATACTACAACTGCCAAGGGGCTGACCTAATCGTTGATCATGGACGTTACTCGCGTGATAATGGTGTACCATTATGTATGTGGCAATGTGAGCGCATCCAAGTTCAGTGGCACTGTAGCGGCCAAACATCAATAGATATTGCGCAAGTTCTCTTATATGAATGTACAGTAAAGCTTCAACTTTTCCTGTAAGGACGCAGTTTACTTTCATGTGTTACGGAGTCCTAAAAGTCGAGGTCAACATGGTTTCTTTTTCCTTATGTTCCCTACTGCCCCCTTGATGTGACACATGCTCTCCTTCCTATTGAATAACACGTTTGTATTTGTTGTTTAACTATCTGCGCTTTGCAGAAGACTAAACATTGTTTTCATAGAATTAATTCCGTTGTTTATAACTACTCTTCCACCACCTATCCTACAACTGCCATTTAATTATCTCTATCATGAACACACATGCCTCTCTCATGTTGTCTATACACCTCAAGGCTTCGCGCAATCGTGTACACGTGTAAACAATAGCCCGGGTGGATGGACTCATGTTCAATTCAAATATACTCTATCATAGGTTGAGGTTTTCCGCAGCAAAATACTTTGCCATCTTGCTTACCAAATCGTGACCTATAACTATGATTTCTGCAGAGTTGTACTCAAATAACGTCATGTACCAGTCACCCAACGAACTGAGAGCTCGCAAGAAAACACAAATACGAACAAGCTAAAAACGCAGTATCATAGATTATGCCTACTAGTTAGCGTTTTCTTATTTTCTTTTGCATTGATGTTATACTGCTATAACGACTCCTTTGGTAAACTAAAATTCTAAGGAAGGTACTATATATGATGAGAAGCTTTAACAATAACGAAGATAAATCATCACGATAAATTAAACAAATTTGAATATGCGTTAGATCATGTGTGGGCCAACTGTTGTGCGAAACATTTCGAAGCTCGTGAATGAAGTAGTTGACGTTAGTAGTTTCCACCAAATAAACATCACTTGCACTCGCAAAAACGGCCTTCCACTGATCAAGCAACACAACTAATGATTTGGTATTACATTCAACTTTACTTGCGAAGTTTTGAATCGGGTTAATCACAACGAGGAAAAGGTATGTCTATCATTTACGTGACGTAAATATACATATTTTTCCTGGCAGATTGTTTTTACCACCACTTTCTTACATTTCGGTATATTCTATTTTGTTGCAGGAATGCCTCTAGTAATCGTGTCCGTGTGGGCGATCACCAAGGCATATTTGAGCCCCAACCACAATGATCCAAACTTGTCTGGAGGGATGTGAGTACTGATACAGGGGTCCGTACATTACCATCGGACATCGCTCCGGAAGTCACCTGGCAGCGCACGCAAGAGATGCTTAATAAGTAGCGTTAATTTTAGAAAAACCTGGAAATTGTTGTACATTATTCTAAAGAAGGCCGTTGTAGTGTGCAACGCAAGTAATTGTGCAAGGCGCAATAATATCTTACTACGATGTTTAAACTCTGATTACCTTCAAGTTGAGCCAAAGTTTACTGACGGCACTTCACGATAGACTACACTATCGAAACGTAGCAACTTCTTAGCAAGAAAAATTTATTGCAGAAGCCGACAAGATTAAAATTCTTGGAGAAGATGTGCCGATGGAGCCAGTGGTATAGCATGTTTGTTGGTTTGGGGCTTGAAACAACAAATATATATATATATATATATATATATATATATATATATATATATATATATATATATATATATATATATATATATATATATACAATAATATAATTAGGAATTGTTTCTAATGTATGTCTTGCCAACTTGTCACGTCTTGCCCTTTTGACACATAAAGCTGCACGTGTAGGATCGCCGTCTTTTTTTATGTACGTGAAGACATAGGCAGGTTTATGGGCTGGGAAGTACGAAAATGGAACTTGCGATATATGGGCATTCGCGTACGCTTTGCTAGTTCGGAACTGTATATCATAGAGCATGTATATGAAAGTTTACGGAAAACGACGACTCCTTGGCGTGACCACCTGATATTACACTGTATAGCTAGTGCTCCAAATGAATGCAGACTGTGTTATCACAAAGCTGTAAAAAACAATTCATAGCTAAACGGAGTCTCTTATAAAATCTACAATCTAATAATCTTTGCGCAACAATCGGGAATTATATTTTGTCAACGACAATTTGTAATAAAGGTACAATTTTTGACATCAGTGAATTTCACTTTAGGTATAAACGCGAGCGTCTGCCCGCGTCATGTAGCTGCTTCATAGAAAGGTGTTTCTCGTTATCCGCTCCCACAAATCGCTACGTTCTCACTTTTTCCTTTTTTAAATGTTTAGCGTTCTACGTGCACAACAAAATATCCTGAAGCATTCTTTAGCTATCTTATTTCTGTGCACACCGTTGTGTGTTCCTGAGCATTTATTTCTATGTCCTTTACTTGCCTTTAGTGAATATTTTTGACTCTGTGACTGAAGGGGTGGGTATTCAGACAAAAATTATTAAAGGCTTGCGTTCGTGCGTGTTGACAAGGCTTGCATACCTATGACACTTACCTATGATGCGAATTCTTGCTATTCTTGAAAACGCGACAGAACACATCTTTGACGCAGGTGCATATGGCAGCTCAAGGATATCTACGACCTCATATTCATCGGGCCCGTCATCCTTGTTCTGCTGGTAAGATACAACCTATACTTGATACGGCTAATCTGCTATCTCTCGACTTTTTACACCATTTGCAACTAAATATTGGGTCAGTTCGCCATACACTGCTCAGAAAATGTAACAGGGCAGTCCGTTAGCATAGCGTCTTGTGTTTATTGCCTGTATGTTCATCGCTCAATGCGTCTAAATACCCACATACAACTTCTCATAAAAAAATGTAGACGTTTCTGCGTTATGAGAGCGTTTAGTTCTAGAGAGAAAGCGCAGCATTCACTGATGACTCAAAGACGTGCCAACTGTGTAAACTGAAGCGTTTCGATTGCACAAGAATGTGCAGTTGACATACTTTCTTGAAAAATAGAAAATAACGTTTGATGGTCTCCAATGCTCGGAGGTCTTAAAGAGAAGACAAACGGTGGAACCCAAGCAAATGGTGCTTGTCTGAGTACCAATCGACTTATCCATTTTTCGTGAAAGCTGGTCTACAAAAAGAAACTTACCAGCTCTCTCTAAACGGAACTCATGTACACATGTCGGTTTTGACATTACATGCGCAGCCTCGACCTACTAGACCTGTTTTAATCATCGTGATACCATCATCTGGAATGTTGTGCGAAAGAAGCTATCGTTCAAAACAATAGTAAAGTTGCCTTCAGAAACAGTGCCGATCTTTTAGTAGGGATTACGCTATTCCATGGTTGTATGCTAGATGCACGATGGTCGTTTCTTTTGAGTTGTCTTCATGCACAGTAGTCGGCGGTTTTCGTCGAGTCAAGTCTGACACCGATACTAAAAACTTGCGTCTTCGTTCATCTGATCTAGTTCACAGCATGTCCTGGCACTATTTAGTATCGAATAATGTAATGAGTTATATTTGCTAAATCGGTACGAGTTGCTTTTTGTGCACAAAGACATGGGAAATTTGATTTATTTATTTCATGTTTCTCGACTACTAGCTTTTGAATGTGGTTGCGTTATCTGAGTGAAACATTATTTTTATATTTTTACTTCCAGACAAATATATTCTTCTTGAGCCACATCATGTGGGTTCTGATCACTAAGCTCCGCGCTGCAACATCGGTGGAATCACAGCAGTACCGGTGAGCCCATTCTGCGTGAACATTTGTCGGACATGAAACGACGTAGGTGAACCAATAGAAACAACAATATATCAGATATTGGCACGTGCAATCGAGTAGAGACCTCGTGGCTGCGCTTCTAACAAAAAAAATCACAGCTTTGCCGCAAAGGCGAAGCAATGAACACGATAGCAACAAATTGGAAGGTCACGCAAAGAATGCAAAGCAGATCGAACCGTGCCCCACGTTTCTCTTGCACAAATGACGCACGAAGCGTACTCAAGGGTACAGATGAACGCAAACAAGTGTCTCAGTAATTACTTCGCTGTGTCGGAAAAGCGCGCCCTTTTCCCAAACGGAAGCTGTGCAGCGATTGTTGTGACCTTTGTGCGCCCCGCAGCTACAAAAGAATCGTCCCAGTGCAAGTCCAACGCCAGCCAAGACGTATGATCCTCCCCACCGGGAGATGAGGGTGCACGAGAGAAGGTCCACTCCCCTCTTCTCTATGGGCCAAAGTACACGTGAGCGATGAAAGCCGCCGTGCGCTCATTGTGGCATCTTGCTCATATTGCTGAAAACGCGACAGTTCCCCCCCCCCGAGATGCCCGCCAATAGCGGTAAGCGGTAGATGAACGTTAAAGTAGGTACCTATCGGTGGTTCAGTGGTTAACACCTCGCATTCATGACGTGCAGGTCCCACGTTCGACTCCGCGCGCCTGAGACTTTTTTTCTGGATTTTTTCTTTCTTTCGTTTCATATATATATATATATATATATATATATATGAGATATAAAAGATAGTAATGCCAAGGAATGTACAGGGGAAGTTATTAACATTAATGGAATGTAAATAAGAAGAAAGAAAAGTGGATGAAAAAATTACCAACTGTAAGCAGGAATCGAACCTACGACCTTCGAATTACGCGTTCGATGCTCTAACCACTGAGCTATTACAGCGGCACTCCCTCCATCCACTTTTTTGGGTTTATCTGTGAATTTAGAAGTAGGAGCGACAGTCAGCGCCATCTATAAGCCAAACAACGAGTGTGAAAACACTCTTATGCGCATGTTTGGCGTCACGTAGCACGTGAACTTATTATGAGCGGGCAGCTGATTAATTGTCCCTCTTATACAACCTAAACACACCAAGTCTGCCAGTACGAGACCCTCGTTCAATGAAATAAGGGAAAGAAGTGTATACCTAAGGGCTCGTTTTTCCGTGTTTTTAACACAATAATAATGAGATATAACAGACAGTAATGCCAAGGAATGTACAGGGAAAGTTATTAACATTAATGGAATGTAAATAAGAAGAAAGAAAAGTGGATGAAAAAAGTGGATGGAGGGAGTGCCGCTGTAATAGCTCAGTGGTTAGAGCATCGAACGCGTAATTCGAAGGTCGTAGGTTCGATTCCTGCTTACAGTTGGTAATTTTTTCATCCACTTTTCTTTCTTCTTATTTACATTCCATTAATGTTAATAACTTCCCCTGTACATTCCTTGGCATTACTGTCTGTATATCTCATTATTATTGTGTTAAAAACACGGAAAAAACGAGCCCTTAGGTATACACTTCTTTCCCTTATTTCATTGAACGAGGGTCTCGTACTGGCAGACTTGGTGTGTTTAGGTTGTATAAGAGGGACAATTAATCAGCTGCCCGCTCATAATAAGTTTACGTGCTACGTGACGCCAAACATGCGCATAAGAGTGTTTTCACACTCGTTGTTTGGCTTATAGATGGCGCTGACTGTCGCTCCTACTTCTAAATTCACAGATAAACCCAAAAAAGTGGATGGGGGAGTGCCGCTGTAATAGCTCAGTGGTTAGAGCATCGAACGCGTAATTCGAAGGTCGTGGGTTCGATTCCTGCTTACAGTTGGTAATTTTTTCATCCACTTTTCTTTCTTCTTATTTACATTCCATTAATGTTAATAACTTCCCCTGTACATTCCTTGGCATTACTGTCTGTTATATCGCATTATTATTGTGTTAAAAACACGGAAAAACGAGCCCTTAGGTATACACTTCTTTCCCTTATTTCATTGAACGAGGGTCTCGTACTGGCAGACTTGGTGTGTTTAGGTTGTCTAAGAGGGACAATTAATCAGCTGCCCGCTCATATAAGTTCACGTGCTACGTGACGCCAAACATGCGCATAAGAGTGTTTTCACACTCGTTGTTTGGCTTATAGATGGCGCTGACTGTCGCTCCTACTTCTAAATTCACAGATAAACCCAAAAAAGTGGATGGAGGGAGTGCCGCTGTAATAGCTCAGTGGTTAGAGCATCGAACGCGTAATTCGAAGGTCGTAGGTTCGATTCCTGCTTACAGTTGGTAATTTTTTCATCCACTTTTCTTTCTTCTTATTTACATTCCATTAATGTTAATAACTTCCCCTGTACATTCCTTGGCATTACTGTCTGTTATATCTCATTATTATTGTGTTAAAAACACGGAAAAACGAGCCCTTAGGTATACACTTCTTTCCCTTATTTCATTGAACGAGGGTCTCGTACTGGCAGACTTGGTGTGTTTAGGTTGTATAAGAGGGACAATTAATCAGCTGCCCGCTCATAATAAGTTCACGTGCTACGTGACGCCAAACATGCGCATAAGAGTGTTTTCACACTCGTTGTTTGGCTTATAGATGGCGCTGACTGTCGCTCCTACTTCTAAATTCACAGATAAACCCAAAAAAGTGGATGGAGGGAGTGCCGCTGTAATAGCTCAGTGGTTAGAGCATCGAACGCGTAATTCGAAGGTCGTAGGTTCGATTCCTGCTTACAGTTGGTAATTTTTTCATCCACTTTTCTTTCTTCTTATTTACATTCCATTAATGTTAATAACTTCCCCTGTACATTCCTTGGCATTACTGTCTGTTATATCTCATTATTATTGTGTTAAAAACACGGAAAAACGAGCCCTTAGGTATACACTTCTTTCCCTTATATATATATATATATATTATATATATATATATATATATAATATATATATATATATTGTCGCGGTGCAGCGCGAACCAAAGGCAGATGAACGTTGACACAGCGACTCTCAGCAGCCGAACAGCAAGATCGCCTTCTTTATCTTCAATCAGCCAGAGCTCCACTACCTGGTGTCCGCCAAATCCCCTTATTGTCGTTTTGGTCCACCAGTACACACGCGTCATTTGCCCCCCCTCTTAATGAGCATCGCCCCGATGCTAAACCAGTAGTGCAGTTTTTTTTTTGCCTGTTCTTTAAGAAGTGTCTTGCGCAGTCACTACCTTTCATAAGGCTTCATGCGCACAACGTGAACTAGTTCGGGACGGTGCTGGCGAAGCCTCGTACTATATGAAGTGTCGGGGACGACCTCGTAGGTAACATCACTCAGTCGTCGCAGTACTAGATATGGCCCAAAGTATCTCCTCAGGAGCTTTTCAGAGAGTCCTCGTTTCCGTATGGGCGTCCAACCCATACTCTGTCACCGGTCTGGTAAACGACTGTTCTGCGGCGAGAATTGTAGCGGCTCGCGTCGTACTCTTGTTGTTGCTGGATTCGCAGGCGTGCTAGTTGCCTTGCTTCTTCCGCTCGTTCTGTAAACATCTCGGCGTCCGGTTCGATGTCGTCCCATTCGTGCGCTAGCATCGCATCTAACATGGTTCGTACTTCCCTTCCGTGAATTAGGCTGAACGGGGTCATCTGGGTTGTTTCTTGCTTGGCAGTGTTGTATGCAAACGTGATATATGGCAAGATTTCGTCCCAATTTTTGTGTTCGACGTCTACGTACATTGAAAGCATGTCTTCAATTGTTTAGGTTCAGACGCTCTGTAAGCCCGTTCGTTTGCGGGTGGTAGGCGGTGGTCTTGCGATGGGTTGTTCCACTCAGCATGAGGACTTGTTCCAAAAGAGCTGCCGTAAAGGCGGTTCCTCTGTCTGTGATTACGATGCTTGGTGCACCATGCCGCAGGACAACGTTCTCGATGAAAAATTGTGCCACCTCCGCTGCTGTACCTCTCTGCATAGCCTTTGTTTCAGCATAACGGGTAAGGTAATCAGTCGCGACAATAACCCAGCGGTTCCCAGCAGTAGAAGTAGGAAGTGGGCCCAAAATATCCATGCCAATCTGGTCGAATGGTGTTCTTGGGACCTGCACGGGCTGCAGGAGGCCAGCTGGTTTAGTCGGCGGTGACTTCCGTCGCTGGCAATCGAGGCAAGTACGAACATGGTGTTTTACGGCTACGGTCAGTCTTGGCCAGAAGTAGCGCTGCCGTACTCTGGCCAACGTTCTTGTGTAACCTAAGTGGCCTGAAGTCACCTCGTTGTGGCATGCTTCGAGTACTTCGGAGCGAAGGGCTGCTGGGATAACGAGCAAATACGCAGATCCTGTTGAAGAGAAGTTTCTTTTGTATAGCACTCCACTCCGTAAGCAAAATGATGACAGCGCTTTTACGAAAACAGTTGGTGCCTTCTGAGATCTTCCCTCCAGGTAATTAATTAGTGCAAGTAACTCAGGGTCACCACGTTGTTGCTGTGCAATAGCGGTTGAGTCAAGCACACCGAGAAATGCTGTTTCATCCTCATCGGATAGAGTTGCCGATTGAATGGGTGAGCGGGATAGACAGTCGGCGTCCATGTGGCGCTTTCCTGACTTGTGTACGACAGTCATGTCGTACTCCTGCAGCCTGAGACTCCAACGCGCTAATCTCCCGGTAGGATCTTTAAGGTTTGTCAACCAACACAGTGAGTGGTGGTCGCTGATGACTTTGAAAGGGCGGCCGTATAAATACGGGCGAAATTTTGTGACCGCCCATACCACGGCGAGGCATTCCTTCTCGGTTGTGGAGTAATTAGTCTCGGCGCGTGTTAGTGTTCGGCTTGCATAGGCGATTACTCTTTTTGTGTCTTCTTGCAGCTGCACAAGCACAGCTCCCAAACCAATGTTGCTGGCATCCGTGTGTAGCATCGTTGGGGCTTTCTCATCAAAGTGGGCAAGCACTGGAGGCGTCTGTAGTCGCTGGCGGAGGTTCTTAAAAGCAGCTTCCTCTTCGTTGCTCCATTGGAAAGCAACGTCTTCTCTCGTGAGGCGGGTCAACGGTGATGCGATGCGTGCGAAGTCCGCGATGAATCGCCTATAATACGCACATAGTCCGAGGAATCGTCGGACAGCCTTCTTATCAGTCGGCACCGGGAACTGTGCAACAGCTGCGATCTTTTCAGGATCCGGACGAACGCCTGCGTGACTGACAACGTGGCCAAGAAATTGCAGCTCTTCATAGCAAAAGTGGCATTTTTCAGGCTTCAACGTCAAGCCCGCTGACCGTATGGCTTGTAAAACTGCCTCAAGTCTTTTAAGGTGCTGGTAAAATGTTGCGGCAAAAACTACGACATCATCAAGGTAGACCAAGCAGGTTTTCCACTTCAACCCAGAAAGTACGGTATCCATAAGTCTTTGAAAGGTAGCAGGCGCTGAACATAAACCAAAGGGCAAGACTTTAAATTCATACAAGCCATCTGGTGTCACAAAAGCAGTCTTCTCGCGGTCTCTTGGGTCTACCTCGATTTGCCAATACCCACTCCTTAGGTCCATCGATGAAAAGTAACGAGCATGTCGAAGTCTGTCGAGAGAGTCATCTATACGAGGGAGTGGATACACATCTCTCTTTGTCACCTGATTGAGTTTTCGGTAATCTACACAGAAGCGCAGGCTGCCATCTTTTTTTTTAACGAGGACTACAGGTGACGCCCAGGGGCTTTTTGAGGGCTGAATGACGTCATCTTCTAGCATTTTGTCGACTTGCTCTTGTATCACTTCGCGTTCCCTTGCAGCCACGCGATAGGGGTTTTGGTGAATTGGTCTCGCCATGTCCTCGGTAATTATCCGTTGCTTGGTTAGAGGTGTGCGGCCAACTCTTGATGTTGTCGAAAAGCAGTCTTTGAATTCGGCCAGTAGCTCAAGAAGCCTCTTTCGCTCGTTCTTAGGCAAAGTAGTGCTAACGTCAAGAACTGGTGTCGAATCAAGTTTTGGCGCCTCGTCGACTACTGCCAAGCAGCCTTCTGCGTCTGTGATATCGTCGAAGTAAGCGACGGCCATGTCTTTTGGAAGGTGCCGGCGCTCATCACTAAAATTTGTCAGAAGCAAGTCCGTGCGTCCAGCGGCGACACTGACGATACCTCTCGCGACGGAAATGCCGTGTGTGAAGAGGAGCGAGGTTATTCGGTCTGCTACTCCTTCGCCGTCAAACTGGACAGCGGCTGCCACAGAAACAAGCGTGCATGACCGTGGAGGGAGAACCACATCGTCATCAGTTAGACGCAATTGGTTTGGTCGCGCTTGTGTACAATCAGGTGCGCCCGAACTGTTGCGGAATGTAATCAAACTGACGCGTGTGTACGCGTGGACCAAAACGACAATAAGGGGATTTGGCGGACACCAGGTAGTGGAGCTCTGGCTGATTGAAGATAAAGAAGGCGATCTTGCTGTTCGGCTGCTGAGAGTCGCTGTGTCAACGTTCATCTGCCTTTGGTTCGCGCTGCACCGCGACACTGGTGGAAGTGCTGGGACGCAACCCTACCTAATGCTCCATACTCCCACTGGGAGCCGTTCATCTAGCTCGGACGCATTGTCACCCATTGCAACTCCCGTGCACCGGTTCAGTCGGCGGCTGATAGGCCTCGCTCCAGAGTTCACGCCTTCCACGGAACCTCGCAAGTGCCGATTACCTCTCCAAATGGCCAACGCCAGTCCGCAACCGGCGCCCCAAGGCCCCCTGCCAACACAGCCTTCACAGGTAACCATCTTTCAACCGCTGGTTCCCTATCACTTTAGTGGCGGCGCCCATGAGGACGTGGACGACTGGCTTGAGCACTACGAGCGTGTCGCCAAGATTAATCTGTGGCCTGAACAAGAAAAGCTCTCGCGCGCCTATTTCTACCTTGACGGCGGTGCGAAAATTTGGTATGAAAACAGAGAAGCCAGTCTCTTAACTTGGGGCGACTTCCGACAACAGCTTGTCGATACGTTCACCAATGTCGATCGACGCGACCGAGCGCAGCAGCTGTTGGAGCTACGGGTTCAAAAACCCAATAAAAGCGTTACTATGTTAACTGAAGATATGACTCGTCTTTTTCGTCGAGCTGACCCGAACATGAGCGAAGATAGGAAGTTGAGCTACCTCATGCGCGGCGTTAAGGAGCAACTTTTCGCCGGGCTACTGCGCCACCCTCCAAGTACCGTAGCTGACTTCATCAAGGAGGCTACGGCTATCGAGCGGGCGCTCCATCAACGATGCAGGCAGTATCATCGAATGTCGAGCAGCGCCCCAATCAATGCTGCCGCCATACCTGAGGATCAAAGCTCCCTGCGAGACCTCATTAGGGAGATAGTTCGCGAAGAACTTCAAAAGTTCCGGAATCCAGTTGCTCAGACCCCCGTTGCGTACGTCGCTGAACTGGTACGCGACGAAATCCGCCACGCCTTTTCTACCACTGGTCCTGGTGACGAGCACCATCCCATGAGCTATGCCGATGCTCTGCGACGTTCACCATCTGGTACATCGCCGCCATATCACCCAGTACCGACGGCCCCTTGGTCACCGCGGCAAGAGCAGACCCTGAGCCGACCGCCAAGCCAACCGACGTACCACCAGGTGTCCACAGCAGCACCATGGACATCGTCGCAAGAAGGGAGGCTCAGACGTCCACCGCTCCGAAGAACAGACGCATGGCGCACAATCGATCGACGTCCACTATGCTTTAACTGCGGAGGCGCAGGTCATATTGCCCGTCATTGCTGGCACCGCAATGATTCGTTTCGCCAGCTTCGAACATGGTCTGACGATCGACGTACGAACGAAGAATACATACCACGCCGGGAGGACGCCTCTTTCCATGGAGCCCGTTCTCACTTTTACGAATACCGTACTTCTGACGAGGAGGCAATACCTACCCGCCATCCAGGTCTGGGACGTCAATCCCGCTCTCCTTCTCCCGCTCATTCACCTTCGTCACACCAACGTACCTCCGCGGACCTTAACGCAAGAAGGTCACCCAGCCCGCGACGGGGAAACTGAGGGCGGCGACCTCCGGGGGTAAGGTTGCAGGCCACGAGGATGACGACAAAAAGCCCCCATTACACGACGCTTTAATACAACAAGACGTGAGAGCGACGACATTGTGACCGCTGACCTGAGTGTTTTTCTTGACGGCCAGAAAGTAACAGCCTTAGTCGACACCGGTGCCGACTTTTCTATCATCAGTCAGGACCTCGCCATTCGCCTCAAAAAAGTGAAGACACCGTGGACAGGCCCTCAAATAAGGACGGCAGGTGGTCAGTTATTGATGCCCTCTGGGAGATGCACAGCGAGAATTGACATAGGAGGTTCTTCTTTTGTTGCGTCGTTCGTCGTTCTCGCCGCATGCTGCAAGGATCTAATTATTGGTATGGACTTCTTACGAGAGTACGGCGCCGTCATCAATATCCCAGACAGTTTGAATATATATATGTATCTCTCTCTCTCTCTCTCTCTCTCTCTCTATATATATATATATATATATATAGAGAGAGAGAGAGAGAGAGAGAGAGAAAGAGAGAGAGAGAGAGAGGGGGGGAGAGAGAGAGAGATGCGTATACATATACATTGGATGACGTCAACGCCGACACCAGCGGCGAAATCCAGCCGAGAGTGTCTGTATATTTCCTATCGCAATAATAAGTTAACACTGGTGAATAGAAGCCGGTGCTACATAAGACCGCCATACTTTCCTAAGCAGCGTATATATTAGGTAAAAAAAAAGGTTTGAGCTAAAGCGTGACAATTTTTCTAAACCTAGAAAGAGCGTATTTTTACAAGTGGGGGTATTTTACAAAAACAAGTGTCGATTTCAAACACGTTAGAGAGAGAGAGAGAGAGAGGTTAAGGAAACAGGAATACATAGAAAAGACGTTCTTTTCTGCCTCCCATCGTCGAGGTATGGCTCATTGCCTTTAGGGACAGGAAGGAGGATGTAAAGTTGATAGGAAGAAAACAAGAGAGCAAAAATAGTGAAAGGCATGACAAGAGAGTCTCGTCAGCGCCGACGATATCACGCGACCAAAACGTCTGCCTAGAAGGCGGCGAGGTCCGCGGAAGCACTTAACTTTAGGAAGGCCCGAGGGGCTTGCATCTTGGAGTGCGCGGGAGGCCAGTGCAATTGTACGGTGAATGAAAGTTTCGTTGTTTAATTCACACTTGTTCTAGTAACATACATGTTTCCTCAGAAATGTTTTATGTTAGGGTGACAGTAAGATATCTGGCACTATACTAAGGCTTTCATATGGCTCATGTCATTTCTGCGTCGTGTAGTATTTTACGCAACAACGTGTGCCTCGAACATTCTGCGTGCAGGAAAGCGGCTAAGGCACTGCTCGTGTTGATCCCTCTGCTGGGCGTAAGCTACATTCTGGTGATCTGGACGCCGCAGCACAAGACTGCCAGGGTCATCTTCACCTATCTCCAAATAACGCTGCTTTCCACACAGGTAAATGGTTTTGAATTGGAGTGAATCGAACTTAGTGTGTTTGTTGCAAACCACTCATGTGCGTGATTTATCGCCTTGCGCTTCGACGTCTCTTCTTTAGTCGTGTGAAGTTTACTTGCGACAAAGCATATATAGCTATGATGTGCCAGCAACAAGGTAAAGGGCATCGGTCATGCAGCGTGTGTTGTAGCTTTTTCCTGGTGTACTGAAGTTGCGGTCGAAGAAATGGTTGGCTATAATTAATGTCTTGTTCAACAAGCTTGTCATTTTTGGAGCGAAACACGTTAGGCCCCCTATTGAAAAAACGTCCACCATAGGAATGTTGTATTCCACCATCCACCATTTTGGAGGATTATGGCGGTAAAAATGTTGGTGGCACATGGTGTATGGTGGCGTATGGTGGAGCGGATGGTGGATGGTGCGCTCAAGCCGGCAGTGCTGGAGCGTGAAGCAGCGTCAGAACCACCGTGACGAGCTGCCACCAAAGGAATAATAAAAATAGTTGTATAAAAAACCATTTAGAAAGCACGCGCAAAAGAAAGTGTGACAGCGTGGAATTGAACCTGCCACCTTCAGATTTTTAACTGAGCACACTAACCACTGTGCCACGCCGACAGATTGCAGTTGTGGTTTTAAGGAAATAGTCAACTCACAAACTCTTTCCACACTTCAGTTTTGTTTGTCACTTACTCGAGATTGATGGGATCTGCACCTGCTATTAACATTCGCACATTTGATAAACACGAACAAGTGGTGCCTGTAACGATTGCCACTAAGATACTGCGATAATGGCAACAGTGCTACGTTTTTGTTATAATTTACAACCACAAGAAAATAAACAACTCAGTGGACTGAGGAGCAGGTAGAGTTTATTGATGGTTACTACCAAGTTTATTATCCGTTTCTCGCTCATTCCAAGGGGCGATATATGTGCAGGCTTTATGACGTTTCTATGCTCATTCGACAGACACGCCCACACAATTGATTGTGTTGTTTTTCGCGCAATGCAAAGTGCAGTCGTGCCAGCGCACCGCTGTTGCTCTGTCGTTTGGAACAACCACACAACGGCTTGGCCAAAACGAATGCAGTGGGCCAGAAACATTATGCTATCATATTTGGTCAGTAAGCATACAAATTGACGAGTCGGTGTTCTCGCATAAGAGCGAGCGAAGCGCCGGCGAGTGCGACCGGCGGCTGTCGGTGAGGCGAGGCGTACCTTTGGTGGAAGGGCTGCAAGCGCGTCGCATCGATGTATGTCGCTTCTTGCGCGGACACCGTACACAATAAAAAAAGGCTTCACTTAGGTTAAATGATGCCAAAGCTGTGCAGTATTGTCATATATAGTCGTCAAAATCGTGCATTCTGAAACTCACAGGCGCCTATAGCACTTGTATGGGTTCGGTCGGTAGGACTAACTTTTGGTGGAAATCATGGGGGTAGAACACAAGGGTGAAAATCAAATTGACTGGGGCTCGTCTCGACGCATGTCGAAAGTGAAAGTTTATGCATATTCGCACGCACTTTGTTAACTTAAAAGTACGGTGCAAGCAATAGAGTGTGCAAGAATTGTCAGCGTTGCGTTTATAGCGTGGTGACATCAAGTCACCGCTGTGTTCTGCTTCAACATTGAAAGGGGCAATTGCAAACTGGAGCTCATTCATTTCTCGACAACTGCGGGCTGATTTAAAACATTTATTGTCACTGTTCACAGTGACACCTCTAGTCTTCTAAACATTACAACAAAGAAACACATCGCGGATGTCAACCTGATGTAAGTACGTGCGCGAAATGGAAACATATATTCATGGCCGCATATTCTACGCTCCACGAAAATGGGAGCGTTGTTGACACCACTATAATAAAAAAATAAACGTGCCAGAAAGCGTAATTTTCAGCGTTGGTTTCTTTTGATTATAAACATATTGTGGGCATTCATTATCCGCTTCTCTCCTATATGCATTATCATAATCATCCATTTGGGTCCCTGTCCTCATCTTCACAATCATCATGGGGTGTATGCGTGCTCAGTTTCAGACTGCCCGTTCGCTGCTGAGCCCTTGGCTGGATAAAAGCTGTCTCAACGCAGACGTCATACGTGGTGGAGGTAGATTTTCGGTCCTCGGTCTTCTCCCACCTCGCTCGACTCCCTGGAGCTGCGTTCAGGCCACCAATTGCCCCCCCCCCTGTCTGGCAGCACGTCACAGAACAAGCCTGCCGGTGCTACTACCATCACTTCTGCCATCTCTCCCCCACGGTCTTCAGCCGCGCCTCCTCTTTACGTACACAGCCACCAGCGTGATCCCCCCCTCTTCGCCGGTCGTCGCGGGGAAGACGTGGAGGACTGGCTTGATGAGTACAGCCGTGTTAGTGTTGCTAATCGCTGGGACGATAGCGCCAAGCTCCGTTACGTCTCTTTCTACTTGATCGGTGCGGCGAAGACGTGGTACTTTAACCACATCATCGACATACCCAACTGGGCGACCTTCGAGCAGCAGCTCCGTCACGTTTTGGCACACCGGCCATTCAGTCCACAGTCGCAGCTCCGTCACGTTTTGGCACACCGGCCATTCAGTCCACAGTCGCAAAGAGAACCCTCGACAATCGCCAACAACATTCCGGTGGGTCGTACACGTCGTACATCTAGAACGTTCTTGCGCTCTGCCGGCGGGCCAATTCATCTAAGCCGGAGTCCGACAAGTACGCCACAACAGGGTATAGGCCCTGTTGCCTTTAATGCCATGGTTGCTCAGAACCCGGCTACCATAGCCGACGTCGTCACAACATGTCAGCGCCTCGATACCCTGGACTCGGTTCGTCTACAACCAGACATAGGCGAACAATCTAACAGACCTCTCCGTGACCTGATAAGAGACATATAAGTGAAGAGTTGCAGAACATGGGTTTCACACCTTCCCCACCATGTTCTCCACAGTCTACTGGAGTGGCATTACGCGACATCATCAGGGAGGAACTGACATCTCTGAACTGTCCGGCTCACATCCAGTCACCCTCGTCTCGGCCCATACGAACCTACACGCAGGTGGCTGCTGTGCCTCCCAGTGAGGTAAACACGACGTAGCCGCTGACATCGTACGCCTCGGTCGCTGCCGCTTCTCCCTTCAACTTTCGTTCGATCCCTCCTGACGGCACTCTCTTCAGGTACTCCGCATGGTTTCTACCCTTCCCCTTGACGCTAATCACGCCCAGTTTGCTATTACGGTGGGTATCGCGGCCACATCTCTCGTTTCTGCCGCAAGTGCCAGCAAGACGAGCGCCCCGGTTACGACATGCATGAACGAGATACTTTTTACTATCAAGGTCAACGCCATTCATCACCTACACGCCGGTCTCCCTCTCCGCCCGTATCGATTGCACCTCGGAACAGCCGGAACTCCAGACGCCGTTCACCATCACCCTTTCGCCGCTACTCCTCCCCACTTCGGCCTGCCTCATTCGTCACTACCAGTCATTCGGAAAAATAAGTGATGCAGTTTCTGGGGGAAAAACTGCATTCCGAATTAGGACTGATATTCCTCCATCAGGCCCGTGTAACATGATGTCGGTGGTAGTGGAAGGAGTGTACGTGGATGCTCTGGTAGACACGGGTGCGGCATTTTTCGTTATGCGCGTCGATATAGGCCAACGTCTGAAAAAAGTGATGACCCCCTACGATGGACCCACGTTAGTTGCGGCGCAGGGGTATTCCATTCGTCCTTCCGCTTTCTGTACAGCCCGTGTTTTTATTGATGGTATCCGGCACCACATTCAATTCGCCATCCTGACTGACTGCTCTCACCAATTAATTTTAGGGTGGGATTTTCTTTCTTCTGCCTCCGCGGCTATTTGCTGTGGCCAACGCGTCGTCCACTTCACCGACATGGACTGCACGCTCAACGACGACCACCAGAGGTCACTTCGTTTGACAGCTGCTGAAGATACCGAATTACCACCAGGTCAAGGACGGATCGTAGCGTTTACCGCCAAGGACATCGACTACGGCGACGTCTTGGTCTCACCATCATTTAGTTGCGTCGGTAAAGGCATCATTTTCGCTTCCGGTGTAGTTAGGTTTCTTAATGGTTCCGCACTTGTCACCACCGTGAATACAACATCCGAAAAAATTCTACTTCCCCAGAACACCACGGTGGCCTGCGTGACGGATCCCGAGCCTGCGTGCGTCGTGCCACTTCATGCCGTCTCCTCCAACGACAGCCCTAGAAGTAAGCCTGCTTCTTCTTTCGCCTTTACTACAGCCATTAGCGACGACTTGACACCTTCTCAGACGCAACAGCTACTTGCTTTGTTAAAAAAACACGCTAGTTTTTTCGATGTTTACTCCTCGACATTGGGCCGCACTACTACTACAACGCACCGAATCCACACAGTCGGAACATCTGTTGTACGCTGCCGGCCCTACCGCGTGTCTCCTGCTGAGAGAAAAATCATCGAAGAAAACGTAGCTGACATGCTCAAACAAGAGGTAATTCGCCATTCATCTAGCCCTTGGTCGTCGCCTGTGGTTCTGGTTCGCAAGAAGAATGGCTCCGTGCGCTTTTGCGTCGATTACAGAGCGCTCAACAAGATCCCTCGCAAGGATCTGTACCTAATGTCTCGCATTGACGACGCCCTTGATTCTCTACAAGGCGCGAAATACTTTTCCGGCCTCGACCTGCGTTCTGGATACGGACAAATTCCTATGCACGAAGAGGATTAAGAGAAAACGGCATTCGCGACCCCCGACGTGCTATACGAATTCAACATTGTGCCTTTCGGGCTGTGCAACGCGCCCGCTACATTTGAGCGCATGATCGATACCATGCTGCGCGGCCTTAAATTGAAGACCTGTCTCTGCTACTTGAACGAAATTGTCATTTTTTCGTCAACGTTTCCTCAGCACCTGCAACGTTTGGATGATGTTCTGACGTGCCTTGCCGCCACTGGTCTCTATTTCAACACGAAAAAATGCCGTTTCGCCAAAAAAGCTATCAAGGTTTTGGGCC